GTTTTCAGTGTAGAGATCTTTTGTTTCTTTTGTTAGATTGATTCCTAGATACTTCATTTTTTTGGATGTTATTGTAAAAGGAATTTTTTCCCTTATTTCTTTTTCCATGTGTCTGTTATTTGTGTGTAGAAAGGCTATTGATTTTTGGGTATTCACCTTGTATCCAGATACTCTACTGAATCTGTCAATTAAATCTAGAAGTTTTTTGGTGGAGTTTTTTGGATCTTCAATGTAGAGTATCATTTCATCAGCAAATAATGATAGTTTAACTTCTTCCTTTCCTATCTTTATTGCTTTAATTTATTCCAGAGATGCAAGGGTGGTTCAACATACGAAAGTCAATAAATGTAAGACATTATGTTAACAAAGTCAAGGACAAAAACCATATGATCCTCTCAATAGATGCAGAAAAAGCATGATAAAATTCAACACCTATTCATGATAAAAACCTGCAGAAAATAGGAATAGACTGTCTTTATCTCAACTTTATAAGGGCTATCTATGAAAAAACAAGAACCAACGTCATACTAAATGGTCAAAAACTGAAAATCTTCATATTAAAATCAGGAACAAGACAAGGATGTCCACTACCAACACTCCTTTTCAATACAGTTTTGGTATTAGCCACAGCAATTTGAGAAGAGAAAGCAATAAAGTAATAAAGATAGGAAAGGAATAAACTAAAATGCCATTATTTGCTGTTTCAAAAAAAAAAAAAAAAAAAAAAAAAAAAAGACTTGCATGTATGTATATAGATCCTGGAATTTGGGAAGAGTGGAATATATTCAATACGTTTGAAGGCAAGGAAGTTTAGGATATATTCAGAAAATAGGCCGAGTGTATCCAGTATATTAGTGTTACATAGTTTAAAAAGAGATGTGGTACATTTTTTCACCTTCACTCAATTTTAAATAATAAATGATTGAGGAGGTAGATATATTTAAACTTTTAAAATTGCAGAAAATGTCAGGTGGTACTGCAAAAGTATGTATAATTTTTGTGTTAGTTTAAAATTCTTCAGAAAAAGTTTTAATCAAAATCAGAATAGGATAAATGAAATTTTAACTGTTACTGTTATGAATCCTTTCCTCTCAGCTTTTTTGTCATGGAATGTCTCAAAAAACTTATGCAATTTTTTTTTTAATTTTGCTGTAACAGGGTATTTGTCAAGTGCAAAAGATGTCTACGAAAGCTTTTTAGGCTCCTATTTGAATGATATTTGGAGACAGCTGAAGATTGTACAGTTCATTAAGGGAAAAAAGCATGAATCCAACCATAAAGTACAAGGATTGCAACACCAGATACTAAGTTGGATGCAAAGTCAACAGCAAATTAAGGTTAAATATTGGAGTAAAGCAAATAAAAATAATCAGTTTCAATAAGAATTGGATGTAACCTCAATTTTTGTATTTAACTTTGAAATTATGAAATAATTTGTACAATTTGGCCCCTTGACAGTTTTATCCTTCAGTAATTAACAACAAAATCAGACAGAAAATACGGTTTGCAGTATCGTCCACATGTCTTCAACTTTTAAATACGTTAAGTTTTATAATAAACAATTGCCTATGGGTGGGTTCTGCAGTTGCCAAAACTTTTATCTGGTACTGATTTAAGCCCTTGAACATTTATACAACAATAGAATTATAATAATTTATTTTTAGAGATTAAGCCAGAGTCTCATCTGACATGATTGTATAAAAAAGCACTTAGTTTATGCCTTGACTTACACTGGAAATTATTGGCTCACAACATCACGCATACAAAAATTGCATAATGATGATTTAAGCAAAATGCTTTTTAAAATCTTATCGAGCAGAACATTTCAAATGTCTTATACTAAATCTGGATACAAATTTATAGGGGCTTTCTCTTCTTTGTCCCATCTATATCTTTATGTTTTCTTGAGTAACTTTCTTAAGCCATTAAAATAAATCAATAAGTGAGAAATTTAAAATAGAAACTGCTTTGCAACACCCCAACGTTCCCCCCATGATACTGCTTCCCCTGTTGCCTGTCACAGAGAAGCTGATTGTCTTCTCTGTGTACGCCTCATGGGAATGAGGTGGTCATTTCTTGCTTTCCATAATCCCATATGTGGGAATTCTTGAGGATTGCTAAGCATACCCTGCTCCAAAACATTTTTCTCATTGATATTTCATGTTATCACAATTTATTTGTGTTTAAGCATTGGCATCTTTTGCAAAACAAATGCTTATTTGTAATCTCATTGTCATTAATTTCCTGTGACCAGTGAAGTTGTTATTTTGCCACTGTAAAAAAACTGTGATAAACAATAATCATTGAGAGATATATATAAAATTCTTATTTTTGACTAGGTGCTGGTTATAATAAGAATGGACTCAGATGGCGAAAGACATTTACTCATTAAAACTCTTAACAAAATAGAAGGTAGGGACTTCTAAATTGTGCTTCATTTGATATAGGCTTGAACATGTAAAAAATTGATCTTACCAGCTTTTAAAATTCAAGTACTATAATTAGCATACCATAAAATTTACTGATTTTACAACTCAGTGGGCTCTAAACAATATTTATATTTAAATCAATATAGATATGTCTTCAATATAAGTATACTATAATGTTATTAATAATTTACATCTTTTATTGATTATCTACTATTTACTAAATAATACTGGCTACTTACAAAAATTCTATAAATAGGGCCAGGAATTTAACTCAGTGGTTCCCCAAGGATCAAACTTGGAACCTTGCACTTGCAAGGCAGGCAGCAGAACTATAAATAGGTTTTGACTAAGTTGTACAAATAAAGGTAAAACTGGTTCAGGCAGTAAATGAGGAAATCAGGACTTTAACCTAGTTCTCTCTGGTTTCAGTGTCATTTTAACTCTTTACCCACTATTGCCCCTCTGTCAACTTTTCTCCAGTGTGCTTTGTGCTGTGGAATCTATTGCTTAAGGTGTAGATTCTTCTTCATCTTCCTTGTCTTTTTTTTTTTTTTTTTGGTACCAGGGATTGAACTTGGGACCTTGTGCTTGTGAGGCAGGCAGTGGCACCACTGAGCTAAGTCCCTAACCTCTTCCTTGTCTTTAGCTGAAACCCAGCTTCACCCACATGATACTACTTTTCCTGTGCTGTCACAGAGTAGCTGATCATCTTCTCTATGTATACCTCCTGGGAATTAAGTGGTCATTTCTTGCTTTCCATAATCATATTCAAAGTATGATTCCTCCATTCTTCAGGGCTGAGATATATTGCCATATGGCTTTCTACCACTCCAAATTACCATCATATACTAACCATATCATCATTCCCGATTACCTGTAAATAGTTGTACACCTGGCTCTTGGAATTCTCTATAGACTCCTAATCCTGCCATTTATCCTGTGTTGTTTGTTTGTTTGTTTGGTGGTTCTGGGGATCAAACCCAGGATTACATGCATGCCAGGCAAGGGCTCTACCACTAAGTTACATCCCCAGTACTATCGTGGATGTTTTAATATCTCATATGTGAATGATTTATCCAAACAGCCTGGCTTTACAGTTTTGTTGACCTCCATAACAACAATTATATTAATCTTTAACTCATTCCTTGTCTACATTATGGAACTTGTGAAGAAACTGTCTTATTTCTGACCTTTAAATTCTAGTACATTACTTTTTATCTACACCTACTTTTATCCCTTCTATAATCTGTATCTTTCCCTTTTTGTTTCATTTTCTTTTCTTTCCACACCGTGTATTTTGATCCACCACTGTATGCTATCTTGGCTTTCTATTGTACTTTCCATTTAAATCTTAATCCTGAATCAATCAATACATTTAAATTCTCTATTCTACACCTGAGCTGCTCAGCACTATTGGGGAAAAAAAATCACACAGCCATTTAGGTTGGTGCCACTACAATCCCATCTACTCTGAATTTACCTAAGCTATAAATACCTCCTAACAATCTTTCCATATACACTATTCTCAGTGCACATTCTCATTTTGATAGTGGCTATACCACAATCCATACCATGCCACCCATCCTCTCACTTTTAGAGGGGACTTATGCCTTTTAATTCCATTTATTAGATAAGAATTTTCCTCAGTTTCCTTCCCTACCATATGCAAATTTACCTTCATATCTTTCTGTTCTTTTATTCTTTTCTCTTTTCTACATAGGCACGAACCTCTTCCCACTGAAGACCTATCTTTTACTTGTACTTTGGATATGATCTGTTTCCATAGGTCTTTGTACTTTACTCCATCAGCAGTTTCCCGGTCCAACTTTATTCTCTAAAGGCTCTTTTTCTTATTAAATAAGGCCTCTATTGTTAAAAATAAAATGCCACCCTCAACCTATGTCATTTTTTGGTTACTATTTCTCTACTATAAACTATATGTTTTGCCATCTTTATTTCCTAAAATATTTCTTTAGCTCTACCAAAATATTTATTGTGCTGTTTCATATCTCCATGCTTTTATACTTCCTGTTTCTGCTATGAGAATGTTCTTCTTTAGGGAATTAAGTTCTACACATCCCTTAAATATTATCTAGGGGTGCTGAGGTTTAGCTCAAGGATAGTGGGCTTGCCTAGTGTATACTAGGCCCCGGCTTCAATCCCCAGCACTACAAGAAAAAAATAGTTTAAAGGTGTGTATAGGAAATTTTGATTTAAATGTTTTTCCTCTGTACTCTTAGGGCATTAAGTGCATACATGTTTTTTTTCAGACAGTCTCACTGTGTAGTTCAGACTGGCCTGAACTCATAGCAATCCTTCTACCTCAGCCTCACAGGTCCTGGGATTACAGGCATGCACCACCATACCCCAGTTATGTGCATACTTTTAAGTCACCCCTTACCAGCTTGATCTGATTCTCTTTGCTGCTTACCTCACTATAATACCAGCTTCTAGGGTATATGGATTATGACAAAATTTGTGGCCCCAAGACCAGGGAAATGCATACAGTGTAGAAGGCACTTCTCAAGAGTTCATTGAATGTGCCAATGAGTATCTCTCTGTATACTGACACTAGCGGAAATTATTAAATTCATATACAAATATAGCAACAAATATCTGCTCATCAGTTCAACTCATATAGCTTACATTTTAAATTACAATAATGTGAGAATGGAAAGTTCTTTGGGAAGAGCTTTATAAAGACCTATTTCTTAATGAATCATTATGTCCAGGTTCCAAATTTAAAACTTGGGTATTATTCACTCTTTCATTTAGTTTTCCAACCCTAGAAAGATGAGTTCTTGTTTACCATATTCATAAAATTCTTCGTACCAGAACATTAGAGCAATAGTTAACAATTGGGGAGCCGAAAATGGCACAGTTGTCTGGAATATTTGCAGATTATTACTCTGTGTCTCTTCTTAACTAGGCTTCATGCTAAAAACTCCCCCGTTTTTGGCATTTGGAAATATTTCATCATTCTTGCTATATTAATTTCAACAATGTCTGCTGACACAAAAATCTTGAAATCTTTAATCTATAAACTAGAAAATGTTTTTACTCTTTTAGAATAGCAAATACCTTCAGTTTCTAGGAGCTAGGGCTTTTTTTCTGTCTAGTGTTAGAAAAATGTGGCTTCATTTTTTTATATATTTTTAAGATCAATTTATCTACTCACTGAGTAATCTGTTTTAGGATCCTAGCAGATTGTTTTAAATAATATGAATCACTTTATGAAGTCTAAAAGGGAAATAATATTCATTCCTACTGCTACCAATCTCTTGTCCTGTCAAGTACCAAATCTATCATCATGTCAAGTAAAGTTAAATATACTTATTAATCATTACTCTGTCATTAATATATAGCAGCTTTGTGAACTTTATGACTGAAAAAGTTTACTAATAGGGTACAGAATTAATTTGGACTTTATTTAGTTATCCTTGAATTCAGTTATGTCTATCAAAGTTAAGCTGAATGTGAGTATAGAAATTGTTGTAATTCATATTTGTTTAAACATTACTAAAATAAGAAGCAGAAATGACTTAAGAAAACAATGATGCCCAGTAAGCCTTCGGCATCTTACATAGCCAGCAGAAAGGAGGATGGGGTAAGCATTTATACCACATTGCTTTCAAAACAGTCTCTTGCTATTTTGTTAAATTTTTGGTTAGAGAAAAATATAAAAGATGAAAATAAGATCAACTACACAGTTGATGAATGTTTAATTTGGTTACTTTAAAATTAACTTTTATTCATTTTATTATTTCACATGGGAAATTTAGATTTTTTTTTTTTTTGGCCTATGGTTTAGACTTTCTAATATGCTAGACTTAAAAAATGAATCCAGCAAATTATATTTTAAACAATTTTCTTTAGTTTGTTTTTGATGGAGTGAAATAGATGATACAAAAAATATTAATGAACAAAACTGAAAAACACTTATTGAAAAAAAATTCTTTTTTCCAATAGGTTTAAAATTGACTGTCTTTTATTCAAGTAAAAAAAAAGATCTTCTGGAATCTCAAGGTGTTTTAAATGGGTAAAGTGTATTTTATTTATCTATGGGGGACAAACGCATTAGTTCCATGAGAAAGGCAAATTCAGCCGGGCTTGGTAGTGCACGCCTGTAATCCCAACACTTGGGAGGCTGAGGCAGGAGGATCGCTGTGAGCTCGAGACCAACCTGGGCTACATAGTGAGTTCCAGGTCAGTCTCAACTATATAGTGAGACCCTGTCTCAAAAAAAAAAGGAATAAAAGAAAGGCAAATTTTATCCTAGAAATTAACATTAAAAGCTTAATAAAATCTGAAAGTAATCTTCTTCTTGAAAAATATCTTAAATAGAACACTTTAACTCAGATCATTGCCCTGTGTTTTATATATAGCTGATTTTCAGAAATTTATTTTATTTGAATATCCTCAAATTATATCATTGTTATAGTTGGTAAAGAAGTACTTGTTTAGATACACCTTTCTTTTTACTAGTTTCCTGATTAGCATTGAATTTTTTTTGGTAACGGGGATCAAACTCAGGTCCTTCTGCTTGCATTCCCAGCCCTAGTATTAACTTTTTAAGTTTCCTTTCTTTCTTTTGGGTTCTCCTTCCTAATTTATTATTATTATTTTTAATGCAAGGGATTGAACGGGGCCTCTGATGTGCTAGGCAAATGCTCTACCACTGAGATACATCACCAGTCCCCGAAATTGTTTGCTTAAGGGCCTGCTAATAATAAATCTAATGCTGGCTTTTCAAATCTCTTTCTTTTGCCTTATTTTACATAGAAGTTGTTTATTTCTAATATTGAGATCCAAATAATTAAAAGAGATATAGATTAAATGGAAATCCATAAAAACTGGACAGAAATGCTTTTTAACTTCTAGATTGTACTGAATAGAAGGTGGCGACAGAATTTTTATTATACTAAGTGCTATATTATGTGAAACTTGAAGATGGGAAAATTAAACATATAAGCATCCGTCTTTTTCATGTTTGTTAAATTACTTATGAAGCCCACTGAGGAATAAAAATCCTATTTCAGAGCTGTCAGAAATATCCTTTTTATAAGATGAGATTGAAGGGGCTGGAGATTTAGCTCAGTGATACCATGCCTGTCTTGCAAGTACAAGGTCCTGAGTTTGATACCCAGTTCTGGGGGAAGAAAAGAGAGGCTGTACGATGAGATTGATTTCTCATGATGATTTCTGTTACTTATAATACTTAAGTAATGAAATCAGAAGCATATTTGAGGTATGATATAATCTACAGTTTTGTATATCTTGATATTTTAAAGGTATGATAAAAAGAATTACTACAACTGGTAAAGATATCAACAGAAAAATGCACTAGTGCCTTTCCAAGTTGAGTATGGATAGAGAATAGCCACAATAGTAGTGATCTATTAGTATTCCAATTAAATAATGACACAAGTATAATTCCATTTTGCTGGCTTTTGTTTGTCTTTAGTACAAGTTCCTGTGTAATTGTACATAATCAAAATATTGGAGCAGATTTTCCCTGGAATAATTTCTCATTTGTGGTGGAGTACAATTACGTGGAACACTCTTGTTGGACTATGCACTGCGAAAAGATGAATATTCCTTACGTTGCCCTCAAAGTGATTCTTCCAGACACAGTTTTAAAAAGTAAGGACATAAAGCAAAGTCCCTTTTTTCTCCATTAGAATGAACATTTTCTGCTTTTTATTTATGATCTATGGAAAGAAAGTAGGCTGTGGCGGAAAATATTTTATAGTTGTATTAATTTCCTTGTCTTCGATTATCCATGTCTTTTTATATATAAATTGATTTTGAATAGACATTCTTTTATAAATTACCTGGCTATTTATTCTTTTCCTGTTGGTCTGTAAAATGTTTTTCCTGTGAGTTGTTGTATATAATTTAAAATTTTGATATAAATCAGTTATATTTACATAGCAAATGTCCAATACATACTTAAGTAAATAAAGAAGGCTTCAGAATTTTAGGTGGAGAGTGATCTTATTTTTCCCTTTTTTTTAAATTTATTTTTAAGAATATGTGAATATAGGAAGGTAAATGTATAGAAAATTTTATAGTAAGTATATTGTAGTATATAGTAGTGTTAATAAGTAGTAAGCTTTTAGTAGTAGTTAAATACTTTATTTCTAGGTAGGAGAATAACATAGTTTCTTTGTTTGTTTGTTTTGAGGTACTGGGGATTGAGTCTATATTCTCACATATGCTAGGCAAGTGCTCTACCACTGAGCTATATCTCCAGCCCTTTTTATTCTATTTTGAGATAAGATCTTGCTAATCACCCAAGCTGGCCTCAAACTCATAATCCTCCTACCTCAGCCTTCCATGTAGCCAGGTTTACAGGTGTGCACCATCGTATCTAGCAATTTTTTTCTTGTTCAGTCCTTCTTTTATTCTGATTTCTTATTTTTTACAATGAATATTATTTTTTACAACTCTTTGAACATATACCTATTAATCTCATGTTTAGTAAAAAAGAATGAAGAAGGTATGAAAAAAAAAGATAAATATTTGTCAATGTTCTCTTTATTTAGGAACCACCTTGCTGGATAAATTTGGTGGTTTTCTTTTGGAAATTCAGATTCCATATGTGTTTTTTGCATCTGAAGGGCTTCTTAATACTCCACAAATACTTCAGCTGCTAGAATCTAAGTAAGTTACTGATTTTGTAACTTTAGCAAATCTGTGTGTGTATATATATTCTGATAGGCTAAATACTGTGCTCTATATGTAACACTGTTATCTCTCTGCATTTATGTCATATTTTTCCAGAGATTTTATGTCAATTTATATTTCTATCCCCAAGCTACTTATTGAATATTATCTTTAGGATAATATTTACCAATTTTATAGACAAAAATGAAATTTATTCTTTACACTTATATTTCATTTACATTTTTTGTTACCAGAAAATAAAAAAATGTTATTTTTATGTGAATTGTATATTCCTGTCTTAGAGTCATTGAAAACAGTAAGAATGAGCATTCCTGTTTAGGAAACTTTAAACAATACTGGAAACAATATTATGGAGTTCTAAATGAACTGCAATTTTCAGATCTTCAGTTCTGAGGTCATAATTTACTGCACTTTACAGATACGATATCACACTGGTGGAGAGATGCTGCAGTCCAACACTCAAACTCTTTGGAAGTACGGAGCACTATGTAGTGCTGACAATTGATGAACACACTACTATAATTTTGCAGGTAAAAATATATAGAAAAAATAAACTCAAATACATTAAAATACATATAACTGTGCAGCTTGTTCTTTTCAATAGAGAGTTTATAACCTATTTGTGATTTCTTCTAAATTTTGCAAATACTAAAATTATCACTGGAAAATGACTATTACCAAAGTTCTTTGAAACTGTATAATCTTTAATACACTTCAAGGAGGCAAAGTAAATACAGAATCTTATATATTGACCTATTTTAAGCACATTCACAGCACAATTATAGTATAAAAGTCTTAGCTGAATGTTCCTTATGCTTGATTAGAGTACCAGTTGCAAAGATATTAATTTAATATGTCAAGAGTGGGAAGGAGAAACCAGGTTTGATAGCACAGAGTATAAATTATTAGCAAATATGGAAAGGTTCAGTCTGCTCTGATGAACAAAGCTTATAAAATAAGAATTGTGTGCTTGGCATAGTAGCACACACCTGCAATCCCAATACCCTGGGAAGCTGAAGCAAGAGAATTACAAGTCCAAGCGCAGCCTGATCAACTTAATAACTTAATGAGATCCTGTCTCAAAAATTTTTTTTAATTTATAAAGGCACTAGGGATGTAGTTCAGTGCAAAGGCCCTGAGTTCAGTCCCCAGTACTGTGAAAAAAGAGATTAGATGATGGAAAAATACAATTCTGTTAGATAAAGAGATACTGTGTCTAACATATTTAAAGTTCTTAATTATTTTTCTATTTGGCAAAAATTTTTAAATTCAGTTATATAATGTTAGAAAGACATTTTCTAAATTACTCACTGTAGGGCTGGGGATGTAGTACAGCGCCATCACACCTGCCTGGCAAACACAAGGTCCTGAGTTTGATCCCCAGTATGGGAAAATAAATAAATAAATAAAAATAAAAATAATGAATTATTCACTATATCAGAAATTACTTGTTTGAAAGGAAAAAGGGATTCCAGGCTATTAGGTAGGGATTCCTAGGAAATACATTAACTGCTTCTTTTTCATCTCCCTTGAACAAGCATGTAATGCAGATTATTTCATAGCGTTTTAAAGATATTTTCTGTTGCCTTTGGAACAGTCAGTCCAGTCCATAAAGGACATTGCCAAAAACAGAGAGACTTTTTAGGTTATTTTCTTTATTTCTAGGACTTTGGGAAATCAATGGGCCTTTTATGCCGAAGCTATCATTAATTGTTTTATGTCTAGAGTGGTTTTTTTCTCTACTACTTCCAGTGTGATTTTTTTTCTTGAAAAGGGAGTCCATGCTTATGCCTGTTCTCAAGCTATCATTTACATAGCACCGATTCTTGAAATATATATAACAATTTTAAACAACTGTTCAACCTAATGAATATTTTACTTTCTTTATTTTCTGATAGGACCTAGAAGAACTGAATTATGAGAAGACGTCAGATAATATAATTATGAGATTGATGGCATTATCGTTCCAGTACAACTATTGTTGGATAATATTATATACCAAAGAAACATTAAATTCAGGGTTTGTAAATATTTTTTCATATTAAATCATGCTAATATTTCTTGTTATTCAGTCCTACTCTTTGAATAACTATGCAATTTTTTTGCTTGCTCATCTAGTTTGCTTTAATTTAAGGATTCACAAGACAGAGGCATGATCATAGGAAAACAAATTGGAATTTTGGAGATAATACATGTTCCATTGGATATTCTGTGAAAATCATTCTCTCCTCCCCCATCCCACTGTGAATTGCTTCTTTTAGTGTTTTATAACTTTGTAATTCTGGACTTGTCTGCTAAAAGATAACTTCCTGCTAAAAATCTCACTAAATGTATCAACTTTTTGTTGATATAGATTTTGTTATTGTATAGCTCTTACGACACTTTCTTTGATTAATGTGCTTAACTAAAAATGATGAAAATTCCATGTCAGGATAGTGGCTTAAGTTATCATTGTTTCTATTTTTCCTGCCTCTAAACATTATGAACCCATCACTTCCACTTTCTCCTTTTCTTCTACTTCCATACTGATTTTTGTCCCTCAAAGGTCACTCATGACTTTCTTATGATCATCTCCAAAAGTGTTTTATCTTTCACCACTGTGAAATATTTAAGTGTTGTCAGTGCTTCCTTTCTCAAAACTCTTCAGTTCTGTGATACTTCAATCTTCTACTCCCTAACTACATTTTCTTGGTTTTTCTCTTTTTTTTTTTTTTTTTTTTTTTTTTTTTTTTTTTTTTTTTTTTGTAGTGGGGCTCAAACTCAGGACCTTGCTCTTGTGAGGCAGGCGGTGGCACCACTGAGCTAAATCCCTGGCCCTTTTCTTTTTCTTTGTTGTAGCCTCTAAATATATTTGTCATGAGTTCTTTTTTTTTCTCTTATTCTATCCATTGAATTCTTTTTTCCAGTGCTGGGGATTGAACCCAAGGCCTCATGTGCTGCCACTCTGGTACATTTCCAGCCCTTTTTTGCCTTGTTCTGTTGAGACAAGGTCTCCACTAAATTACCCTGAATTTACTTTTGTCCTGACTCGACCTCCCAGTAGTTGGGATTCCAGGCATGCACCACTTTGCTAGGCTTTATTTTAAGTCTCACCCACTGTCGTAGCTTTGATCGTTGTCTCTGTGCATGTAATAATTACATTTATTTCTGCGTCTTTGGTCTCTCTTTGTCACTCCTGACATGAACCCCTAATTTTCTATTACGTATTTCCATCTTGATAATCCAGACTCTCAAACTCAACATGTTCAAATATGAATTCATTTTGTTTTCTGTCCCCACCAAACCTGTATCTGCTCTCATATCTGCCCCTCAGTTATTTTTTTAATCTATAAAGGGAAGAAGTTTATTTTCCTCACAGTTTTGGAGGTTGAAGGTCCACGCTGCATGGCACTACCTGTGGTGTGGCCTGTCGCCTGCATTACACCGTGGTGGATGCTCCAGCATGCAGGCAGCAGCTTGGGCAGGCACAAGGGCTCCCTTGCCATAGCAGAGGCCAGTGAGCTGGGCCTTTGTTGCCTTTTTTTTTTTTTAATAATACCTCTCTCTCTTGAAAACTCCTGTGACCCTTTCCAAGCACGCCCCCATTGACCTAAGGACTACCCACTGGGTCCTACCTCTTAAAGATCCTACTGCCTCTTTACATTGCCACCCTGGAGACCCAGCTTGCTACATACAAACCCCTGGAGGACAGATCACTCCAAACAGTAGCAGTGTCTCCTCCACGTTGTCCTATCTAGCACAGCGTATGACTAACCAGGGAAGGGACCGAAAGTGAAGACTGGAACCAAGGACCCTTCTGGTATTACTTTCCATCTGATTACAGACAGCTGACTTTTTGATTGGCCAGAGACAAGGCAATGGAAGGTATCCCAGGTAAAGGTTAGCCCAGACATGCCTGGGTCATTCCTTGTGTTTCTTTGTTTGTTTTTTTTTTGGGGGGGGGTTGTTTGTTTATTTTTTGTAGTACCAGGAATTGAATTTAGGGCTTCATGCTTGCCAGGTAGGTGCTGTACCACTGAGCTACATCCCTGGCCCCCATTCCTTATCTTTTGCGTTGGTTCCTGTCCATGTTTGTTGAGACAGTTGTGTGCAAGATTCTCCCAGACCCTGCTGGCACCTGACAAAGGGCCTACCTGAGTGTTTATGAGGCAGGCAACTGCACATTTTGGAGTGACCAGTGAGCAGAGAGGCTTTTAGCTCATTTTTTGGCATTTTTTTTTTTCTCTTAGTTACCAAGACTGGAAAACAGATCTTTCAGATTCAATGCCTGGACTTTCTCTTTCATTTATCCCCTTCTTCCAACCAATGTGTTTGTTCAGATTCTCATTTTTTCTTTGTTTGTTTGTTTTTTGAGACAGTGTCTCACTATGAAGCTGAGACTGACCTGGAACTCACTGTGTAACCCAGGCTTGTCTCGAACTCACAGTGATCCTCCTGCCTCAGCCTCCCGAGTGCTGGGATTACAGGCTTGCACCACCACACCCGGCCAGATTCTCATTATTTTATGTGGGCTGTGATGACAGACTTCCAATTGTTTTCCCATCTCCATATGCCTCTCAGTATTCTTCTACCTGGTGTATCCTATACTCAATTGATATTCCTAAAACCAGGCTCTTATTATTTTACTTTTACAAAGCTTTGCTGACTCCCACTTGACCTACTGAATATACTGATGAAATTGTGCTTATTTTTCAGGAACTATCCCCAAATACTACTTTTTCTGTGTAACCTTTCCTTAAAACCCTCTCTTGCACACAAATTTTCAGATATGACCTTTCAATCCTTTGAGCTGCTTAGCTCTTTATTTTTTTCCTCCTACTTGGTATTTTTTATGTTACCTTTTTTGAGTACTTATTTTATAGCACATAATGTATCGTTTTCATATGACACATGCTTTGTAAATGTTCTTTGAGTGACTAAATGAATTATTCGTACCAAATTACAAACTAGTCTTATTTTTTATCCCTGTATAACCACATAACTGTTAGAAGTTTTTAATGTATCCTTAATTTAGTTATTAGGAAAGGTATGAGTATCTTATTTGACTTTACCTGAGTGATTTTTTAACTGATTTTCTCATTTGACTTCATTTTTGTTTATTACCCTACCAAACTCTTTGTACATTACTATTACATGCAGTGATAAGTATAAATTAGAATGTAAGACTCTAAACACCTTGGTTATTCCTTTTGTTGCTGTTGGTGATGGAATCCTGGGCAGAATTTCTAGGTTCTTATGCACAATGAAAAAAGAGTTGGACATGACACACAATAGTAAGAAAAAAGCAGCAAAGTTTCATGAAGCTTAATTAGGTACTGGTATGCTCAGCATGAGCAGGCTCACACCAGTGGAAAGGAAAATGGTGTAAGCAGTAAATGTATTGCATGTAAGAATTTAAAATGTTGTGCTGGGGATTTAGCTCATGGCACCATGCTTGTCTTGCAAGCTCAAGGTCTTGAGTCTGATTCTGGTACAAAAAACCCACAAAAAACCTAAAACAATAAAAAAATAATTTAAAATGTGATTGACAAGGTGCTGTCCTATCAGCTATTTCTACTGTGCATGTCCTTTCCCATAATTCACTGTTATAATTGGAATATGAGAAGCAGTCAGAATGCATGAACCATTACATTAGCAAGCTACAAGTGAAAACAGGTGATTGTGGGTCATGCTAGCAGATCTGGCACATGTGTGTCCTGGTTTAGGACTTTGGAATCTTTCAAGGCAGGCTCAGGAGTCCTTGTATTTCTTATCTCTGCCTCCAGATAGTGGGCCTTAGGACAAAGGTCATGGAGGTTGGCTCTTCATGGGTATTGACTAGGTTCAGTTGTACTATCTACTATGTAAGATTTTCATTTACTAACAGGTAACTTGTAGCAAGCCATTTAACACTAGGGTTTTTTCTATAAGAATTAAAAAGTTTTTAATAATTCAAGTCTAAAATCTTCATTTTGAAAATTAATAAGGTCTATAAAGTATTTTTTTTTGTACTGGGGATTGAACTTGGGACCTTGCACTTTCTATAAAGTATTTTAACCACCAACAGAGCTAAGAGACAATCTACAATGTGGGGAAAAAATTTTACAAGCTGCTCCTCAGACAAAGGACTATTATCTAGAATATGTAAAGAACTCAAAAAAATCAGACCCCTCAAATATAAAGACCCGATTCAAACTGTGCATCTGAAATGAACAGACATTTCTCAGACAAAGAAGTAAAAGCAGCAAGTAAATATATGAAAAAACCTTCAATATCACTGGTCATTTGAGAGATGCAGATGAAAACAACACTGAGATTCCACCTCACCCCAGAAAGAATGGCTTGTATCAGGAAATCAAACAATAACAAATGTTGGCGGGGTTTTGGGGGGAAAGGAACCCTTCTCCATTGTCGGTGGGAGTGCAGACTGGTGCAACCACTGTGGAAATCAATATGGAGATACTCCAAACAACTAGGATTAGAGGTTTCATTTGACCCAGCTATCCCTCTGCTGGGCATCTTTCCAAAAGAATTAAAAGAATCATACCACAGTGATATATGCTCACCCATGTTTATCGTGGCACAGTTTGTAATAGCTAAAACTTGGAAACAGCCCAAATGCCCATCAGTTGGAGACTGGATAAAGAAGATGTTGTTTTTCTATAAAATGGAGTACTACTCAGCCATAAAGAATGAGAAACTAGAGTCATTCATAGGAAAATGGATGCATATTGAGGACATACTCTTAAGTGAAATAAATTAAGACACACGTGTAAATACTGAATAGTTTTTCTAGTGTGAAAAACTAAAAGTGTAAATAAGACCAAAATTGAATAACTGATAATGTGAAATAGGAAGAAAAGAGCTAAAGGTGTAAGGAAAGTGGGAAGGTTTAGGGGAAAGGAAATAACGGAAAAGAAAAATACAAGAACATGAAAAAATGGAAATAAAGTATTTGTAAATAGGGAAAGGAGGAAGGGATGAAGGGAGGGCAAGGCAAGGGTAAGGGGAAAAATTGAGAACCAAGACCTGTCATATAAAGGTACAAGGTCCCAATGATGAATGTAACTGTTCTGTATATTTAAAAAGACCAATAAACTCAATTTTTAAAAAAAGAAAAGAGAAAGTGACAACAACAAAAAAGTATTTTAAGGTTGACTCTTTTTTTTTTTTTTTTTTTTTTTTTTGGCACCAGGATCAAACTCGAGACCCTGTGTTTGCAAAGCAGGTGGCAGAACCACTGAGCTGAATCCCCAACCCTTGGTTGACTCTTATTTGTAAAGCATTTTAAACTTCATCCAGAACTTGGAAGAGGTCTAGTTAAACAACTGGTTTGAAAGTCTCTGAAGTTATTTTGAGATTACTATCTACCTATAGTCCTAGTGGTGCAACTGAAATAGAGGGAAGAATAAAGAAAATTCAAACTTTAACCTAGATTTTCATGAAAAAGATATACAATATTTTGAGGTAGCCTCATATTCAGGATGTAAAGAGCTGTAATTTAGTCACAATAATGTAATATTATAAAATGTAATTATTTTCAAAATTGTAATAATCTCAGTTCCATATTTTAGATGATTGGAACATTTAGGAAATATCTTAAATGACCAAATAAAGGAAATTGAAGGTTTAAAAAATTATTTGATTGTCTTAGTTCGTGTTTGAAGGTGAACATCAGGGGTTCTTAATTTCATTCTGAAGTTTGATTATTCTCTAGAAAGACTCATCACATAGTTATTTATTATAATGCAAGGTTGCAAGGACTTATAATGCAAAATTAACAAAAGAAGGTCAGGGACAGTGTTCAGAGGAAACTAGGAGGAAGCTTCCAAGAGTTTTCTCCTAGTTCACATATGATATACTTAAAGTCATAACCGTACTTACTGTCTTGTTACTTTTCATTATGCTGAGACAAAAAACCTGACACCCAAAATTAAAGAAGGAAAGGTTCATTTATTTTTTCTTTCTCTTTTTCCTCTTTCTTTTTTCTTTTCTTTTTTTTTTTTTTTTTTTTTTTTTTTTTTTTTTTTTTTTTTTTTGTTCTTTCTGCTTTTTGGTTTTCTGTGTAATCACTATAGTCCAGACTGTCCTTGAACTCACTGTGTAGTCCAGGCTGGCCTTGAACTCATAGCACGCCTTCTGCCTCAGCCTCCAGACTGCCAGGATTATAGGCATGCGCTACCGTGCTTGGCAGGAAAGGTTTTGGCTGACAGTTTGTAGAGGTTTCAAGTCATAGTTGGCTGGCTCCAAGGCTGAGTGGTATGGCAGAGAGGCATTGTAGAAAAGAAACAGTTCATGGTGGGCAGAAAACAGAAAGGTAGAAGAGCAGCAAAGCATCGAGGAAAGCCGCAGCAGCAGCCTGCCTCTCCCTTTTATCTTTTCCAGGCTACCTGCCCCTTGAATAGCCCAGGGTAGGCCTTCTCCTTATCCACAACCAATCAGAACTATGCCAAACCAATCAGTGGACTAATTTAGTAATCACACACCCTTAATCCTGGCATCACACACCCTAGATCTAGCTACCTCTGAAAAGCCCCACCTATGACTGCATGAGGCATTGGGGGGACATCTAGACACAAGCCATAGACTTACCAACTTTTTTTCTCATGTAGAGGCTCATTAGAGACACAATGCCCAGGGTTTTTATTAAGGACTGGTTATGTACACAACCCTCTGCCTAGCACATGTCAAAGTTCTATACTCTAAGAAAGGAAGGAGATATGGCAACAGAAACCACATTATTTGTACAAACAGTTTAGGCAGAGCGAGTCACTCATCAAACTATTACTTTTATAGAAACAGCTTGCTTGAGAAAGAAGCCAACACAGAGGAAGGAAGAGCCAAGAAATAAAGATAACATTATCTTGATGACATTGTTTGAGTCCCTGAATCCAAAAATACATTCCCTTGAACCTCATAGTAATAATGAGCCAATAATTTTCTCATATTGCTTAAGATACATAAAAGATACGACACAGGACAAGGGCAGCAGAAATACCCCCTCAATATTCACATCTGACCTGTTTAATAACCACAAAAGAAAGAAAGGGGCTCTTTAACTAACATAACAGTTCAGGAAAAAGACCCAGGGAAGATTCTAAATATCCTGGTTCTAATCAGGTGTTTATATCTGTTACTTTGACCAAGAGGATGGAGCATTCTACTTGGTTAGACTTTGTTCATGTAATCATCCTGAGGCCAATAAGAAGTTGGGTTAAATTCTTCCCCTCAACCCACACCTTCCTACACACACACACACATCCTCAGCATCCCCTAGACTTAACAATATTTGTTGTTTTTTTGTTTTGTTTTGTTTCACTTGGTTTCTTTTGGTACCAGGGATCGAACTCCAGTCCTTGAGCTTGCAAGGCAGGTGGCAGCACCATTGAGCTAAATCCCCGGCCAACAGTATTTGTTAATGGTGGAAATGTTTCTCTCAAAAGAATTCCGAATAGACAAAAACCAACATGACTTGCCACACTAGTGCTGTCTTTGCCAGGTTACTCTACTAACATGATGAAATACAGAAAACAAATTTTTAATCAGTACAGTTAGATGTCAAATATAGAATTATAGTAATATGATTCTTTCTAGGTACCATCTTACAGAAAAAACACTTCATCACCTAGCACTGATTTATGCAGCTTTGGGCTCCTCTGGGCTTAAATCTGAAGAACTGGATGTAAAGGTATCATTGTCTTTATGTTTGTTCTTATGTACTTTTCATAAACCAAAAGTGCACACAAACTCAAGTGCCCAGAGAGAAGAAAGATTAAATGGACAAGTTACAAACTGCTTCAAACCAAATAACAGCTTCAAATTAGTAAATGTTCTTACCACATAAACTTCTGCTTTAACAGCCTTTAGTTTAGTGAATTTCAAATCACATTTTGTCACCTAATTTCTATTGATATTTTAAACATAACAGATTATGAATAAAAATCTCTTGATCAAAAAAGTTCCTTATGAAAGATACTGTTCTTATCTGCTATATAACAGAAATCTATGTTCTTGTCTATTATGAACTGTCTGGCTTAAATGCTGACAGCTGTATAATTTTAATTGGTTTTTTTTTTTTTTTTTTTTTGGTACCAGGGATCGAACTGTATTTGCCAGGCAGGTGCTGGAACCACTGAGCTAAATCGCTGGTCTCTAATAATTAGTATTCTTTCTTGGTTCTGTTTTTCAGTGTCCTACTCTGAAATCTATACATTCATCCAAGTTCAAGGTGCAACACCCTTCCTTTCCTTTAAGAACTTTAACATTCCTATAGAGATAGCTTTTTTTTTCTTTTTATTGAGTTTATTGGTACATTTTAGGTATACAGTACAGTTACATTCATCATTAGGATCTTGTACCTTTACATGACAGGTCTTGGTTCTCATTTTTTCCCCTTGTCCCTGCCCTCCCTTCACCCCCTCTTCTCCTCCCCATTTACAAACACTTTATTTCCATTTTTTCATTTTCTCATTATTTTTTTCTTTTCCCTTATTCCCTTTCCCCTACCCTTCCCACTACTCAGCCATAAAGAATGAGAAATTAGATTCATTCATAGGAAAATGGATACATTTTGAGGATATACTCCTAAGTGAAATAAATAAGTCACACGTGTAAATACCAAATAGTTTCTCTGGTGTGAAAAACTATAATGGTACATAAGATCCTAATGAGATAATTAACAATGTGAAATAGGAAGAAAGGGGCTAAAGGTGTAGAGATAGCTCTTTTTTAGTACAATTCTTAAATTTTTCCTCATATTTTTAAGGTCTGTAGTTTATTGGAAATTGCCACATGAATATCCAACAAACATCTCAAACTCTACATATTCAAGACACACCTTCTTCCCCAAGCTTAGTTTGTGGTATCACTATTCCAATTTAATCAGTAGTTGAGTCCTCTTTTTAACTCTGCCATGTCTCTAGAATATACCTTTCCTTTTATTCTTACCATGTCTCTAAATGCAGGCCTTCCTCACCTCCCACTTAGACTTTTACCTTGCTAAGTAACCCCCCTTTTTGTACAGTTACCCCAGTCCATCACCTGTTGACACCAATTACATTTCTGGAACACAGCTGCAAAAGTTTTACTCCTTAGGCTGGAGATTTAGCTCAGTGGCACCATGCCCCTGAGTTTGATCCCGAGTAATGCCCCCAAAAAAAAGAAAAAGAAAAGGTTTCACTCCTTATACTGTAAGCTTCTGAAGGTATGGGAGCATGAAAGGTAAGAATGAGATCCTTTTTATTTGTAAAAATTGTTGCAGCTAGCACAGTGCTTTGCATAAAACAAAAATATGTAACAAACACCTTCTAAATAGACTTACATCACGGCACAGTCTGTTAATATCAGCAGATGGTTTACTTAAAACGAGATTCCAGATAATTTTGGCTCCAGGATGCATACTAAACATAGAATAAACATAGAATAAAGTTGCTAGAAAAGTTATTTGGGTAGTAAATGGCAGGTGCAAATTTGTCTCATTTATTCATTCAAGCTAGGTTTTGCCACTTAATTAGCCTGTTCCTAACACATGGTAAACAGTAAATATGCTTTAGAAATTATTATCAGGTAGGTCAGGGATTTCGCTCAGTGGTTCTGCAACCTGCCTTGCA